ATAGGCGTGATAAAATCATACAAAAGAGATACTGAGTGGCGTGAGCACCGTTCAGGGCCGTACGTTCGCTCTTGTAGCATCGGCTGCGTCTGGAGTTAAGCTAAAGCAAAGCACAAAACCCATTGTATGTATCTGTAACCCTGCTACGTTTGTTTTGAACATGGCGTGATTGTTTCGTGGATTGATCGATTTATACGCGGGACCTTCGGATCCGTCCCATTCAAAAATGCTGCCGTTTGTTGGGTCGGTGACGTCAGCCGCCCAACGCGCGCCGTCCCCTTGCACGCACTCAGAGACGTCTCTGTCGACTTCTCGCGCTTCAGCTTCCAAGTTTACCTTCACCGTTTCGAGCACGCAGTTTCGAGACTGTGACGGACATCACTCGCTTCGTCGGAGTCTTTGGCACTGATCGCAGCAGCGATGAGAGTGATTTTATCAAATAATGTTAGAAACTGGTCATTTTGCCTTCCACCACCACGGTGTGACTAACTTGAGCAGTGTTGTCTGGTCGCCAGACGAAAATGATCAATATTCGTAAATTGAATATTGCAATTACTAGAGCTCTACAAATAGCAAAACTTTGTGTATATAGTAAATAGCTTTTGAACATTCGATTTCACGAGTAATCTACCTGCTTAACCTCCGGAAATATTTTCGTATGTTACAGTCATTTTGGAGCCATTTCGTCCATACCATCCGGGATCATTTTATTTGGAGGCATTCTGCGCGGGACCATTACAGCTGCGATAATTCTTTAATCATTTGTTTGAATGATTTTTCAGGAGCGCTTTCTTGTAGGGCCATATTGTTTCCGGATGGTTTGTACTTGACTATTTGATAAGGAATATGTGCTCCAAACCCTTCATTATAGAAACCTATTGTCAGAAAAAAAAATAATCATTAAAAACTGAAAATGAATGTTTGATAAGGCGAACGTTTGCTTTCAGTTACGACCAAAACTATACTACGTATTTGGAACGGCCGATGGAAGCAAGGCTATACCGCTGCTTTTAGACACGCTTTTATGTGCATTCAGGCGCGTTCCGAACCAGAACGCAAGATGACATCCGATAAGGGTCTGTAACTTTCCAAAAGTTTTAGAGAAGACATATACGGGCCGAGCAGGGTTCGAATCCCGTTCCTCCGAGTGACAGACACGTTGGTTGCCGACTCCTCCACGCAAGCGACAATAATTCCGGGAACCATTTGTTCCTGTACCATTTGCTCCAACTTTCGGGGGACTACCGCAGTTGGTTAAAGCGCTTAGTCTGAACAACTTTCATACAAACAGATCCGTTTTTACTGATAGAGTTTGGCCGATAAGGTGACTGAGAGAACAACCCGACTTTGAAATAACACAAAATAGTCTGTTATCGAGAGGTGATTATCAACGTTTGTTATGCGTAAAAAACACAGAATGCGAAATTGATTGAATAAATCTTTATTTAGCGAGCGTCAGGTGGAGATGTTAGGGCTCCTCCCGGAGGAGGGAATCCTTAGTCCGGAATACCCTGGCTGGAGGCTGGCTATCCGGGCCCTCGCCACCAGGCCTTGCTGGATCCCGGGGTCCGGGCTGGTCAGGCAGGCCATCCACTGCTCGTAGGATGGGGTGGGATTGGGAGTGAGGTACCCTTTCTTAGTGGACATACCTTTACAGTATAAGATGCTCTGCACAGAAAATGACAATGATGCCACCTTACGGGAACTCTACAGCCAGGATGAAAACGGCAGGAAGGGGTTCCAGTTGTGCCGCCTCCCTGATAACACTCCGGTGTCTTGTGAGCTTCGAGTGTGCACGCGCGGCCAAAATACAACGAAAAGTGCGTGCTCCGGGGAGAATGATGCCCTGCTCGTTCTACGACTGTCGGTGACGCCAGGAAACTAACGAAGAGGAGAAGACGACCCGGCAGTGATTCCCCCCCCCCCCCCCCCCGTACACCCCCCTTTCTTTTTAAGGCACCCCCTTAATTCACAACGACTCCCCTATTCTCAATGCCCCCCCCCCCCCCCCCCCCCCGCCCCCTCCTAATTTCAATTCCTCGGGAAACCCTTGCGACCGGGGACGTCGGAACGCTGAGCTCTGGTCCCAATGATCAGTGCATGCAGAGCTAAAGCTCTCCATCTGCACTCATCGAACGCGTACCAATGAGAGGGCCAAATGCCAGACGCCGGCGTTGTGCATTTTAACGCGTTCGACAAGTACAGCGGAGACAAAAGACAGCTAGCTTTAGCTCTACCTTAAGTTACAGGATCCAGTGACTTTAGCACTACCCACTAAACCTTCCATTGAGAGCACGGCGTTATAACGTCCCAGCGCCCTCTAGTCTTCCCCTCTCCCGCAGTTTCTCGGCGCCATACAGACCGTTCGGAAAAAGAACTTCTGGCAGACGACATTTGCAGAGCTCGTGCGTGTGGCGCGTGTTTTGCCAACTTTCTGACGTCACCAACTCGCGCGTCAAACACGAAGTTGGAGCCGAAACTTCGCGGAGCGCACTCATTGGACTTTGGATACAAAAGCGCGGTGTTATTGTCGCAAAAGTACGATCGACGCGCTCCGTAAACTTGGACCCCAAACTTTCTGTTTGACGATGTGAACGCCTCTGATACCGCAGAAGCATGCCTTGTAGGCGTGCTTCCGTAGCACAAGCCTGGTTCACGGCAGCATGCTCGCGCTTGTAGGTTCGGCTTTGCTGCACTTATGGTAACGCAGAGATAGCCTTCCGCGCATGTGCAATGCCCACAGTTTCTACGTAACAGCACTCTTGTTTATCAGCAATGAGTGTACATCAAGTGGGGGTTTGCTCCAGAATGCCGCAGAAATGAGTGCGTAGCGGCGCACACAATGGCTCTTTTTTTTTTCTTCCCTGTTTCGAGATCTACGTATCGGATAGCTTGACGCTCGAAAGCACGTTTTCGCGAACAATGATATGTAACCTGCATGAAAAAGAGCCAGAGCGATGTCATTTTCGTCTACGCAAGATTTTTCACAGATTAGAACCGGAACTAGGTCGAATCATTTGGGTAAATCTTATTTATTTTACGCAATGGTTATAAATCAGGTGTTTACGTTGCCATTTTCTCCAAAAGAGTAGAACAGAAGAGGAGAAAAAAAAATTCAGTGGTGGGTTGACGAGTTCTTAACCTCACACTTGGACAACTGCAGCGTCGCAGAAGAAAATAACTACTTCTCGCACATACGGAAGACAACAGTCGCAGGATTAGAGAAACGTAAGCAATATAGTTTTCCCAGGCCAAAGAAAAACAAAGAAACACGCGATTAAGCATTTAGAGGCGCAAATGAAATGAATGTATAAATCCTTGGTGGAGTTATGATTTATACAGAGCTTCTTCTCACAAAGGAAATTGAGCAGTTTGGGGAACATATAGCGTATAGCATCTGTGAGCCATAGTTTGTCCTGTAACCAATAACCGTCCAATACTTCATATGTCAAAATAAATCGACTTGTAGTTCCGTGTGAGCTTTATACTTAAACCTCAAGAGGAAGATTGCCGAGGTGGCAGTAGTAGTGAGGCAGCCAGAAAATGCGCACAGTCCCTCAGCGGCGGTAGAGCGGAGTTAAGATACTATTATTCAGCCCTGCATCCGGAATGTTAAAATGCTAAGTTATAAAAAAAAAAACAAAAAAAAAAAAACGGTTTTTAAAGTTTTTTGCTTTACATCGAGTTGAAAAGCCGGACGTGAACTGCATATTTTTGAGAACATGGTTCCAATTGTTTTCGAGTATAATTGAGGCACACTTGAGCTGCACCTATTCAATCACCTAGAGGTACAGCGTCAACCTTAGGGACGCCAAAATATTTGACGTAGTAGTTTTTCCCCTTACCACCGCGGTAAGGACACATGCGTTTGTCGATTGATAAAACGAATTCGCTCTTCCACCCCCCTTTTCCACATGGCTGAGCATCGTATCAGGGTGCCACAATGTAATAATCGCAATCCCTAGGTTGCCAGCTGCGCTTCACCGGCCGAATTGATTTTGCGTCAATACTTCCGGTCTAAATTTGGTTTCGTTCCGGCTTCGTATTCAATATCGTCCGAAGTCACCGCTAGGAATGCGTCTGCTGCTGTGCGAAGAGAACTTGGCGGAACGCTCGCGACGCTTACGGTTCCACATTTAGACGTCCGGTTTCTGGTGGCACTGTCAACAGCCGCTCACACTGACGGTTGGCGCTCGGTCCAACATTCTGGAGCGCTTTATCCGCGATATGTTTCCGTTTCTAATGAGGAATGCTCCTCGGCGCACATGAAATCGTTCCAATTATAACTCTGGGCGGCGACAAGTAGTTCCGTTCGGCGCCGGAGAGCGAAGCGCCCGCTCCCGATAGATAGCGGCGATCGGACACCGCATCCAGCGGTGAGCGGAGTGGGCCGATCAAGATCCAGCGGGCGCACTTTCCTCGTCTCCGCGAGAGCGAAGCGGCTGCTCGGAGGACCGCTTACTCCCGGATGACTGGGAACTCTGCGGGGAAGAGCGGCGGCGGGCGAGAGCGGGCGTCGTGAGAGCGCTTTAACGGACGCTTCTTCTCGGGGCCGATTGTGTAAAATGAACCAGGAAGGAAGAGGGTTCGTGCCTCCCCCCGAAAAAAGAACTTTCGCTCCAAAGTGGAGGGACGCCCGCTGCGCGAGAGGGGGGGTAATCCCGCTGACCCACGAAAGGGAAAGCGGCTCGTGCGTCGGAGAGAGGGAACGCGGCGGCCATGTCGGTCACGGAATGGGCGCTCGGGGACTCTCGCTCATCATCAACCCGAGGAGGAACCAGTCAGGGTTGCCCGCCGCGTCTTTGTTCCACGGGGCCTATATAAGCGTGGTGAGGAGGACCCTGTCCAACTCCAGATATCTCTGCACCTCCGCCAGGATCGGCGTCCAGTCTCGGCGCGCAGCCCGTGGACTTTGTGCTCGAGCCCCGAGAAGTGTTCCAATCATGCGACCGACCAGCGTGCCGGCGGCGTCTGTGTTGCTGGGGCTGGCACTCTGCGCGATGCTCCTGGGCGACGCACAGGCGCACCACTTGAAGCACAAGATCAAGCTGAAGAAGCTGGCCAAGCTGGCCATCGTGGCCAAGGTGCTCAAGCCCAAGATCATCCCGCTGCCGCTGCCCATCCCGATCCCGATCAAGGTGGTCAAAAACACCGGAGGCCACGGCGGCTGGCAGGGCGGCGGCGGCTGGCAGGGCGGGGGCGGCGGCTGGAAGCCACAGATCGATGTGCACACTGTCAAGATCATCGACGCCGGACACGGTGGGGGCGGCGGAGGCTGGGACAAGGGCGGCGGAGGCTGGGACCAGGGTGGGGGAGGTTGGGAGCAGGGCGGGGGAGGCTGGGAGCAGGGCGGGGGAGGCTGGGACCAGGGTGGTGGCGGAGGCTGGAATGCCGGTGGAGGTGGCTGGAACCTAGGTGGGGGAGGCGGGGGATGGAACGCCGGTGGGGGAGGTGGAGGGTGGAACGCCGGTGGGGGAGGTGGAGGGTGGAACGCCGGTGGGGGAGGTGGAGGGTGGAACGCCGGTGGTGGTGGAGGCGGCGGTGGGTGGAACGCGGGTGGTGGTGGCGGCGGCGGTGGGTGGTGGTAGCGCACGTCAGCTGAAATCTCTGACTCTGTTGAGTGCCACGCCGGGTGCATTCGCTCTCCGCGAACCCGGTGGTGCGATCTCGCACTGGACTGTGAGTACTCGCCGGCCAGCCACGCTCCTGCACGATCCACGACCGCCGCGGGATCCGGCAACCGTCGTCATTGAACGCTGCTAATGTCCTTCGTGGCGCCGTGTTTTTTTACGTCCTGTGGATGTCTTTCTGTTCTTCAGTCTGTCCCGTTCCCTGTTCTGTGCTCCGTGTCCTCGTGAATAGTTGCCGTGTCTTTGTCCCGTGTTTGTCTCTGATCAAAACCAACCGTGTTTGTGACTGTCATGGGCATGTAATGTAGCTACGACATTCCGCAGAGATGATATTCTCAACCACGTACACGTGGGACAGCACTGACAGCTATGAACCTGTACGTTGTATCAGATGAAAAAAAAACAAAAAAACTGGGTGCTTTACCGATTTGCACGAGGCACGTTGTGCGATACCACGTTACCTAACACCAAATTTGTGAGAGCTCGCGGGTGTCTCTTTTTAGCCTGGTCATGATGCGGGGGCTATTAACAAAGATTAGGGCCTGGGCACGAAAGCGCTTTGGCCCAAAGCTGTATGTTCAAGCGACGACGACCCACGATCATTGTGGGCTTGACTTTCGTTTCAACCAATGTACATTGTGATGCTGTGGCCGCTGTTCTGGGTTGCTGGGATCACCGCAACCCCAGCACAGAAAACACAGTTTATGTGAAGGTTTACTGAGTGTACATAATTGTAGGTTTTATTTTATTTCCACCATTAACACCTTTTACCCTTGTAAATAAAAGTTACACATCAACACTGCTTAAACGTTTGTCCGTTTTCGTTTCTACAATGCAATGCAACCAACGGTTAAATGCGCAATGTTTTCTTTTATCATCTGTATGAATGGTTGTGATTGTATGTTCAGCTGGTTTCGCCCAACTATGAATCACCAACAAGCTCATCTTTTCCCCGTTCTGCGATGAAGTTTCTCTAAGCAATAAACTAAACTTCTTGTTTTTTTTCTACGAATGATGTTAGCTAATTTATTTAACATTAGTCGCGACTTTTTCGAATCTCTTTGATTCGATGCGATTCCCATTTCTGTAGGAACCGGCTTGACAGGAGAGCGGCCGAGCACGGATTCACCTCCGGGACAGCGCCATCTTTTGCTCGGCCAAGGCGCGATACAGCATTGCACGCTCTCTTATGCAACTCGCGGACACGGCCGGGCGACTCAGATGTAACCGATCTCGTGGCTCCGTCAGCTTCGGAAACAGGCCGCAAAGACGGAAAGTGGATCTGGTTCCGGCGACCACTTCCCCTTCTCGTATCTCAGCGCGGATAATGCATGCAGCGGCGGACTGGACGCATTACTTCCTGCAGAAGCTGCCGGTGCTGACTCGGGATCGGTGTGGACGGGCCCGGCCAATATCGGCCAGATGACAAGGCCTGAGCCCCGCCCCCCCCCCTCCCCCCCCTTAAACGTCATCTATAGTGGACCCACGTAGCGGCGCCTATCTTGCGTCAGCATTGCCGACAGCGCCTCTTGCAGCGTCTTGCAAGTGCGGCGCTAGCACGCGGCGACGCCAAGACGGACGCCGCTCCGCACTCGTCGAGCTTCAGCGTGTCATGACGGTCCACCAACGTTGACGTCATGCGCAGGCCTTGTCTCCTAGGTGGACCCGGCGGACTGCTGGCAAGAAAGTGACCCGCATCGATGCTGTCATGCCCGCGCGACGGTGCTTTCCGAGGCGCCTGTTTGTTGTGGACGCGTCGCGTGCACGGCGGAAGCTCAATGCGAATTTCCCAGTCTCGCGCCGACGAGGAAAATGCCTCGCGGCTACGATGAGCCAAATCAGGAAGCGTCGGATAGAAACTGCGACCTGCGACGCGAGGAGAAGGTGCCTGGAAGCCTTAAATTGGGTCGTTTTGAACAACCACCACACCAGGCCTTAGGCTGACGTTCTTTATTGCCCCCCCCCCCCCCCCTTTCCTTAAAATGACGCACTTAAGTGATTAATTTTTTTTTTCGAGGAATGGTATCCACGTCAACCAAAAAGCACGCAAAAAAAAAAACAAAAAAAAAACTGGCTTGGTTTAATTTGGCAAACTAAGGGGCTCACTTGGGCAACACCGGGAGTTTAAGAAATGTAAGATATAGGGGGGTTGAGGAAAAAAAGGAACTCTTTATGAAAACAAACTGCTAGCCATAGCAAATGTAAAAAATTGAAAAAAAAAAAAATGCGCCGACGATTACGCGACGTGTTGTGAATGGACAGCGTCAGCTCATGCGACATTTTGACAATATGACGTCGTGATTGATTGATAATAAGGTAGTTGCGTCGCGCGGTGCCTCGCGTAAACCACAACCGATCACACACAAAACAGCTAGCACCAAACACGTTCCCGCGAAAGCGCTGCACAATTTGCTTGGTCGCACCAGCGTGTCCATTTTTCACTCGGTAACGTTCTCTTCTACATGCCGCTTCACCTTCACGCACAGTATGATCTTGACGTCGAAGGCGTTCCATCTTAAGACACAAGGTGAGACCGTCGGCGCCAACATATCGACGACGTTTTCTCAAAGGTGCTGTTTTAGGCGCGGTGCAAACCGAGGACGGCTGTCGGATCCGACATCTGATTTCGGCAAGAAAACCGGTCTGGAAAGGAGGAAACATCACTTGTCGTTCCTATGAATTCCGATTTTTGACGGGCGCCTGCGGGAAGAGAGTGGAGAGGTTGAAAAGACTCCTTGCACGCTCGGGGGCTTGGGCGGGGAAAGTCCGACAAGGTCCGGCTTATGGATGCGTGCAAACAAAAATCGGCTCACAACATGCCCGCATACCGTTTTCTTCTTTTTCTTTTTTTCGCTGAAATCGAATGTCGGATTTTACAGCCGATTTCAGTTTGCACAGGCCTTTACGCCGTCGAGCAGCCCGTCACTTGCTTCGGTGTATTCTTCGGCCGCCTCATCCTTCCGCGCCAAAGCTTAGAGCGCCGAGGGAACGGGCGACTGAAGTTGAGAAAGAGCAGGTGGAGAGCGGCGCGATCACATGACCCCCAGCGCAATCGCGAACGGCCGAAGGCGCTCGCCTCAACTGCGACTATTTCAGCGAAAGGGCCAGGTTATCATATACTGTACTAGGCCTCCCCCGGCGCCACAGCCACCTGCAATAAACGCGCGCATGCTCCGTTCGTTTTTCGGCAACACGACACTCACCCAGTAGAAGACCAGTACAGCTGACGATGTAAAACACGCTAATTAGCTGAATAATGAAAAAACATTTACTAAGCAACATTATAGCGAGTGAAAATAAGCATATGGTTAAAATGCCTACCGAAATCGAGGGAGAGGAAGAGACGAGAGTGCGCGGGAACGTCAGAACGCAGAGATCTGCTGGTTGGAACGACAATGTGAGTAGACGCAAAGTTATAGCTGCTGAGTAAGCTTCTATGCGCAAACACAAGAGACGAACTCGAAGGAGTGAACAAGGATACGTTCGCTTGTCCTTGTCCACTACCTTCGTGCTCGTGCTCTGTGTTTGCGCGTACAAGTTTGTCCAGTACCATGAACTAACTAGCCCAACAACATCTCTTGCGAAGCTTAGCTAGCTGACTTCGTCTCCACTAGACTCGTCGATCGCGTTAGAACGCGGAACTCCGGCGTTCGGCGTTCGAACGCGTTCAAACAGTGCAGTCGAGACAAAGGCTTTAGGTCCACCCACTAATCACTCCAACCAGGGATCGGTGTTTTGACGTCCCCTGTCGTCTCCTCCTCTCCCTCAGGTTCTGCCCGCATTATTGATGACCATCCTGAATCGAGAATAACTATCTCAATTAGTTTTAGAAAGATATATTGTATAACGCACGCGAAGCATTCTACTGCGTTTCGGAAAAATCGCTCAATTTGGACATGTTTATAGTTTTCGGCTTCCTATCGGAAGCGAAAGATTTTCACTGCTCAAAAGCAGTGAAAATCTACCGTAAAACGCAGAAAATTATGTGAGCAACTGGCACGGCGATGAAGATATGGACGTCAAACTACAAAGAGTTACAAGAATGCTTCACTGAAGGTGAAGACGAGATTCTGAAAGGACTCATAGAAAAAACTCCTGAAACAAAAATCCTGGGCTTGGTATAGGACATGTCTGAGGACACTCTTAAGATTTCACTACACTCTAAAAAAAGTCTGTGCGTCTACTTTCACGCACAACACTCGGAGAGCCAATCAGACAAACTTACGGACGCAGCTCAGCGAATGACGATGCCGAAACAGATGTTTAGACCAAAAAACGCAGTCTGAGTTGCGACATTAAGCAATGCAAGCATGACGTTTTGCATTGCTTAATGTCGCAACTCAGACTGCGTTTTTTGGTCTAAACATCTGTTTCGGCATCGTCATTCGCTGAGCTGCGTCCGTAAGTTTGTCTGATTGGCTCTCCGAGTGTTGTGCGGGAAAGTAGACGCACAGACTTTTTTTAGAGTGTGAGAAACTGTTATAACTTTCCTAGTGTTGCGAGTCAACACAAAGAGGTTCATTCTTCAAGCGTCGGCACGAATGTTTGATATCATGGGCCTATTTGCACCATTCACAATTAGGGAAAAATTATCTTTCAGAAGCTGTGGGAACAAAAGATTTCCTGGGACCCCTGTGTTCCCGAGGACGTCAGCAAAGAGTGGAACAAGTGGTGCAAGGAAGTTGATCAAGTTCACATACTCGCCATGCCACGATTCTTGTTCCACGAAATGCGAGGATTTGAATAGTCCACCGAACGGCATGTTTTACAGATGCGAGTCCTTAAGCCTACGGCGCCGCACTTTGCATTCGGTCAACGGACAATGCAACAAACATCGAGACTCATTTATTAATAGCAAAAGCTCGAGTTGCTCCACTAAAAAGGCAAACTCTCCCACGGTTTGAACTGATAGGGGCAGAGCACGGCTCTTGGAGTATGTCTACAAAACGTTTGAAGCA